GGCTCTTAAGTTCTGGCAAAGTTTTGTTTTACCCAACCACTCGCAAAAACAGTTTCAAAACATGTAACTGGGAATCATGGATATTCAATATACATATATACATTTCAGGTAGCAAATAATATTCAGGTTCTCCCACTCTTATCTCTTTTGGAGAGCTTCACTCGCCCCAATTTTACGTTCTTTTCCATTACCCAGCACGTAAGTGATTTGCGAGGAAAATAGGAGGGTCTGGAGTCCTCCCCCAGAAAACGTTTATGTTTTTGATGCTCAATGATAGCATTTCTGGAATTTTCTGGAGCATCCACAAGGGTAACGAGTAAATGAGAAGACTGTTCTAAGGCTATTTTGTTAGTTTGGTGACTGCATATTTGTGTTTTAAGAACTGCACAAATGGGTTTAGAACTGTACATTTTGTGTAGAACTGCACGTTAAAATAAACCCTGAGTTTTAACAATGCCAATTATAATGTTCGTGTCCGATGCATTTGAGTAGTACAATATATGAAAATCAAACACAATACTGACAAATACAGAAACATAACTGATAATGATTTCATGATCACTTTTTTCTCAAAGTTTCTTTTGTAAAAGTTGTATATTTAAACTTGTATACTTTGGTTATAATTATAGTATATGATATGAATTATACACTTTTCTTCTTGAATGACATTAACCTTGAGGAGGTGGTACTTCTTACATCATACTTCTTACATTGGTGGTACATCGCATTCCAACCAGTGTGACCATCTCCAAGACTATCACTCTTACACTTGCCTATCCAGAACCCCACACGTGTGTGACCTTTAGGCCCGGTTTAGACGGTTTTCATGAGCCGAACTTAATTCATATTTTACTCGAGTAAAATAGGCGTACTTCCAATTTTGATTTAGACAGGCGTGCTTTTCATGAGCCGTACTTAATAATTTGCGCTGCTTCACTTCGAAACCTGGGGCGAGTGACATTTCATAATAAGAAAAAAGGGTTTATCACGTACAATTTTGGCATTTCTGAGCGTCTACAGGTTTGCGGTTATTAAAAATTTCAACTGCTTTTTGAAAAGCCTTATTACTACAATAATAGCATAGTTGCCCGGGTATCTTTTGTTTCAACAGGGTCGATTACTAACTAATCGCCCGCTGTAGCGGGCGATTAGTTCTAATCGCCCGCTAGACCAAGGGTCACACCTTTGTCTCCCTGACGACTACGCATTAGGCAAGTGCCTCACGCACATAATCCGTGCAAGGAACAGCAACAGTTAGCTCAGAGCCGTCAATAGTCTATCATCCGATCCCTGAGTTGCCGCATCATTTAAATTACGT